GTTCTAAATGTTGATACTGTCACCACGAAACCCATTCCACATCAGCACACAGCTAAACCTATATTTGCATACATATATCTATACATACATACATATATTAATATATATCACATCTACTTGTATCTTCATAATCTTAGCTTAAGTCTATGCAAAGAGAATCGCTCACTTTATAGCTAGAGTAGAGTGACGTATATCTTTAGCTAAACCATATACCAAATATTTGATATCAAGTTGCTAACTAAATGTTAATCGTTTTCATTTGTTTCTTTTATTTACATACAAACCAAAAATATATACAATATATCATCATGGTCATTTCCTGCTTAATCATCCCGTTACACACGATGCATATTAATCAAAAATATAAAAAACCCAAAAAAAAAAAATTAAAAAAAATTATCAACAAAATAACGAAATACTCAACAAATTGTCCTCGTCCAAAACTAAACAACAAACTATATATTATTATCTTGTGTTCGTCCAACAAAAAAAAAAAACAAATTTTTTTATTATGTATTCAATATGCTTGGCAATTCGTACGAATTTCAATCAATCGATCCATCATAATTTGTTATGTTTCATTTACGTTTCTTGTTGCTGTTTTACAATCAAAAAACGACACAAAACGTTGGTTGCTATTTCCCGATTACCGATTACCGATAACCGATAACAATTTGAATATGCTCTCGCGTTAATTTTTTGCCAAATCTCGAATATCGCTAAACAAACTTATATTTGAAATTCAATTAACTTGCCTCCGCTCCTAACGTGCCTACATTTAACAAACACAAAAATAAAATCAACAAACCCCAGCCCGTCGAATCCCTCTCCGATGATTTCCTATTCCCCATGACCACATCCCGTTTATCGTATGCATCAAGTCCCGAGTCTGACTTGGAGCTAAGTCCCGGGCCATCCGCATCATTGTCGCTTGGCAATTTGCCGCAATTGGTTAAAGCGAGCTCAGATCCATCGATTGCCACTAACCAGGATAACTTGGATAGGGATAGAGACATAATTGGTGAAGGACTACCACCTCCATATACGGTAAGAGGCCCAAACAAAGTAAAGACTAAAGAAATCAATGATTACGCCCATTTCAAGAAGTCGCGCATGCGCCCCTACTAAATCAACAAATCGCGCCCCGCTCTGGGCATAATCTACACCCCCTTTATATAATAATAATCATTATCATCATCAACCTAATCATATTAATCACAATGTGTGCTAATCTATTTCACTACCCTTCACTCCACACCTGCAATGCACTGCCAACAGGTACCGTACGACCACGGCGTACAGCAGCCACCGAGTCGTCGCCAGACCCTCGACTCCAGCAAGTACAGCATCTACGGCACCAATGTGTCCCAGCAGCAGCAGCAGCAGCTGTCGCAGTCACAGCAATCCCAACAGCAGCCGGGTGATCCCTCAGCGGGCTTGTCACGCCCCCAATCTCTGTACGGCATCAATGCCCCAGATCTGCCGCCGCGCATCGATCGGCAGTCCAAGCCAGGCGATCTGCCCCTGAATACGTCGGGCAGCTCGTCGCGCAACGGCAGCTCAGGCGGCACTCTGGGTCGAAGCGCCCAGGAGCGCCTCTTTGGCAAGGCTGTGCTGCAGGACGACGTCCAGGCCGAGTACGTGACGCGCAATGCGCTAGTCGGTGCCGGCGGCGACACGATCGAGCGCCAGCAGCAGCAGCAGCAGCAGGCCTCACTGGAGCGTCAGGCACGCATGAACGCGGCCATGGGCAGTCCGGCCCAGCACAAGGCCAACGGCAACGGCGGCCCCGCCTCCACCTACGACAGCGTCTCCAGCTACGACTCGTACAACAACACACAATTGGCCATGCAGAACCTCGGCCGACTGGGCCCCAATGCGCCCGATGATCTCAAATCAGTGCCAAA